GGACAAACGCACGAGCACCCCAGACCCGGAAACGCGACGCATCGCCAACCTTCCCCGTCCACAGCAGTGTGGGCGAGGTCTTCGGCAAGGAGACACGGGGCCAGAGGTTGAGCTGATGCGCAGCGTACCGGACCGCAAACGGCCACAGAAAATGGGGAGCTGCCGCATGGATCATGGAGGTACGAGCGACCTCCATGACCAAGCCAATGCGGCGCTCAGCAACCCCATTCTGCTGCGGGGAGGCCGAGAGCGTGAACGACTGGGTGATGCCGTGCTCCTCACAGAAGGCTCGCAAGAGGTCGGAGGAGAACTCACCACCTCTGTCAGAGTGCAGACGCAAGACAGGAAAGTCCGACTGGAACCGCTCGCGGAGCTGGAGACGAGCAGCGCGAATCTAGGGGATCAAAACATCAGGGACGTCCCCCTTGCTGCGCAAGGGGAAGACCGTGGTGTAGCGCGTGTAGTCGTCGACTACCAGCAGGAAGTACCGCTCGCGGCCCTGCCCCTGGACGCGGGCCGGGCCCCACACGTCCAGGTGGAGAGTCTGCAGTGGAGCCTCTGTGGGAGGGAACGAGGAGGAGTGAGGAGCGGCGCGCTGCCGCCCCTCGACGCAAGGAATGCAGGGAGGCGCAGGCGAGGGAGGGAGGGCAGGGAGAGACCTGGGAAGGCCAGAGACCAGACAGCGGGAGTGCATGCTACGAAGACGAGGCAGGGAGGGGTGACCAAGGCGGTGGTGCCAAAGGAGAGTGTCGTGGGACAGGCGGCGGCACTCACACTGGGTGGCAACCTGAGCAGACGCGTACAGCTGTGGAGACAAAGGGGTGTAGCGTGAAACAGTGGTGAGGGTGTACAGACTGGACCCCGGCTCACGAGTGAACGTGGCCAGGTGGCGGCCAGTCTTGGAGCATGTACAGATTGCCACACGCTGTCCTCCAGGAGTCCAGGTGTCAACCCAGTGATCCTGAAGGACGGCGTTGCTCACCAGGTTCGTAGAGAACGAGGGAACATGGAGACCAGACAGCTCACCAGACGGGATTGCTGGGCACGGAAGCACAGTCGTGGCACGTGCAAGCACTGGACCCCCAGAGGGGTCAGCCAGTGAGACAGGAACAGGTGCAGGGAGAGGGGTGACAGTGGTGCTGTCGCGAAAGAAACAGCGCGAAGCACCAGAGTCAAGTGTGAACGTGTGCAAAGCCTGAGCGGACGCAGTACCAGGGAGAGCAGACTCACTAGCACCTAGGGCTGCAGTCTCTATACCTGGGTCAGGCGGCACACACAAGTAACAGTCACCCTCAGCACTAACAGTCAATGCATACATAGCAGCAAGAATAGCATCATAGTCCAGATCAAAGATAGGAACACCACGCCTAAGCAGATCTGCCCAGTTGGGGAACTCAGTAGCATCAGGATACTTTGCGCGCCAGGCGTCACTAAGCCTAGCGAAGCAGCGGAACTCAGTGTGAAAACCGTCGCAGGTGCGACCCTGGCGGGGACCTGCGCAAATGACATAGGGGCAGCGGTCAGAGCCCTTAGACGCCCCACGCCCAGCATACCAGTCATTGAGCTGCTGGGAGGTGAGAGGCGGACGCTGCTGCTGCTGCTGTGGCTGCTGCTGCTGCTGCTGCTGCTGGCCGCCACTGGTGCCACTCTGCTGGCCAGATCCACCTCCACCCCCACCCCCACCACCAGTACCGCTGCCTCCTCCTCCACCACCTCCGCTGCCGCCACCCCCGCCCCCGGTCCTGCCACCACCCCACCCACCACCTCCACCCCCACGGCCACCCCCACCACCTCCACCACCCCCGCCGCCTCCACCACCGCCCCCTCCACCGCCACCTCCGCCACTCCTGCCCCCCTTGCCGCCCTTGCCTCCGCCGCGCTTCCCACCAAGAGCAGAAGCGGCGTTGACCTTCTCAGCACCGAGAAGGTCAACTGCAGTAGCAGCAGAGGCATAGGAGGGGGAAAGAGGGGAGGGGGAGCATCCCTCAAAGAGGGGAGTGCGGGGAGTGCCACGAGCAGCATTCACAGCAAGAATGTTCTTCTCAGCTGCAACTAGCTGCTGCTCGAAGTCGTCCAGGGTGATGGTGGGAGGGTCTTTGGCGAGGAAGTAGTCCCTAACGGAACGGAGCGTGTCGGGAAGGCGGGTGACTAGGATGTAGAGGGTAAAGTACAGGGGGGGGTTTGTTTTCGGCGAGGAACTCTTTAGTGAGAGCGGCACGAAAGCGAGCGTCACTAGCGCGGAGGTGAGAGATGAGGTCTGCAGCAGTGTGAAACGAGGCGAGGTCGGGGAAAAGGTAGGGTAGGATGAGGCTACCAACGGCGGCAGTGGCTGGGGCGGAATAGCGGGCAACTACTGCGTCAAACAGTTCCTTAGCAGTCTTAAGCTGGTTGAAGTGTGCGCGCTCGGAGATAGGCAGGTGGTTGCGAATAGCTAGGCGGGCAAGGGCATCGCGGGTCTGCCATTCAGGACTGCCGTCAGGCTCAAAGGCGAGAACAGTAATAGTCGCCATGGTCACAGGGCGGGGAAATGCAGCAGGCACAGTCTAAGGCCCATGCTCAGGCGAAGGAGGCAGGCAGGCTCAGGCAGGGCAGGGCAGGTGGCGCACAAGCGGGGCGAGCGTGGCGGCTGCTCGTACGCGGCGGTTGGGTGCGGCAGCAGGCTGCGCGCGCGGCAGCGGGCTGCGTGCGGCAGAGGGTGCGCGGCGGCGGGCTGCTTGGCGACGGGCGGCGCAGGGGCAGCGGGCTGCGTACGGGAAAGGGTGCGCGGCGGTGGGCTGCGCAGCGACGGGCGGCGCACGGGCAGGGCACGCGCGGCTGCGGGCTGCACGTGGCGAGGCTGAGGCGGCGGGCGAACAGGCGGCGCAGGCGGGGCGCGCGGCGCGGAGGGCAGCAGCGGGCCGCGGGCTGCTTTCGCGGGGCGCGCGCTTAAAAAAAAAAAAAAAAAAAAGACGCGCGCGCCTTCGAGGCGCACGCAGGCAGCAGGCTAGGCAGGCAAGGCAAGGCTGTAGGTGAGGTAACATAGTAACCGGTGGGCCCGAACTTAGGTCCTAAGACCTACTGCTCTAGATACCATCTCAGAATCTAGGCAAAGGAATGAGTGCATTAGTACAAGGAGGGGTACAAGAAGAATGTCGAGAAAAATACTGTACCCCCTAGTGCTACCCCACTACAGCCTACAAATGTATAACCCCTATATAATTTGACAGCTATTCGAACAAACAACGATCCGCTGCCTTGTTGCTCACCAAAAGCACACCCCCAAGTTCAGTATTAACAAGTGTGTTCAAAACACTAAGAAAAATATAGTCATATGAAAACACACGAGTAGTATAAATTTCTTTCCTTTGTTAAGACCCCCCCCCCCCCCCCCCCCCCCCCCCCCCCCCCCCCTCTTACAAGGGCGATTTATATAACACCCTAGGGTGTTATATCCGGGGGATTACGGTCAGTGTTACTGCTTGCGCCTAACTCTTCACTCCCTAAGTCAGCAAAACAGCTAGCTTGACATCCCAAACGCCATCATGGCGGCTAGAAGAGCTGCCACACTAGCCGTTGCGGGGATGGGCGTGGCGCTCGCCATTCTCTCCCTCTGCACCGGCGCAACGCAGGGCAGGGCAGGGCGTGCGCGGGCAGCGCTACGCATGGCATGGCAGGGCAATGCAGCGCGACTGGTGGGGCAGCGCGACGGGCAGGGTACGATTTGGTGGGCCCTAAAGACGGTCCTGTGACAGGACCTGCTCTGAAACCATGTCAAACTACTGAACGAGAATGAATGCATTGAGTAGAAGCTGAGTACAAGTACTAACCCTAATTGGGTTGTACCCCTTATGGGCTACCCCACTACAGCCTACATAGCACAAACATTAACATGTTTTGACAGACACAGCAATTTTTCATGTTTCGGTCTGATCTTGAGGCGCAGTACGGGGCGTCTTTGGAAAAGGAAACTGCAGAAGTCTTCTCTTGTGCTTGGTTCTGCTTCTTCTAACGCGATAGCATGGAAAAGGAGGGTTCTTCTTGGCTGCCGGACCCTGTTGGAATTGATATGCCGGCAGCACTCTTTCATGCTTGGTTGTGTTTTGTCGCATGGCTGTAATAATGAACAGCCCATAGAAGAATGCTTAGACTAGGACGTTGTAAAGAATATGAACTCAATTAGCACATAATCTCCCTGATAAATGGAACGAATGTAATCAGATTTGCTAATATTGAGCGAAGCCATTTTACTCTATGATGAAAGTGGAAGGGTAGGTAGGATAAGTGGTTAGAATGATAGTTTGTATCGGGTTATCCTCTTCAAGGCGTTGTTTTGACATAAACGCTACATTCGTTACAATCGTGATTCGTCAAGCAGATCCCGCTGCTGTTATCGCTCGTTTGTGCTGCAGCGCCAGTTTGAGCGGCACGGTCAGGGCTGAACAATCCCAACCAGAAATCTTTTTGGGAGAAGCAACACACAAACGAATGCGATGTAAAAGAGTGTCACGAGGTTCGCAGACCATCCCTGGCGACTAGGTTTAGCGAATCTCGTAACTCTTCGTGAGCCGAATTCCCCTACCGCTTTCAGTAGCTTTTGCACACAATCGAGTGAGATTAGGGGGGGATTGACCAATCAAAGTAAGCATTCACAGGCCCCTGCGACTCGGCTTTCTCTGTAGTCACGCCCCTCCCAGATACAACCCACACACATTAGCGCAACCAGCCAACCAGGCGTCCCGCCCGCCCCGACCCCCTCCTCCTCTCGCCGAACCGCACGCCCTTGATGAATCTGGGACATGTTCTCTCGCAAATGAACCACCACAGCACAACAAGCAGCAACATAAATCAGGCGATACAATTTGCCTTTTATCTCAACGCAACCTTCCACAGCGACTACCATTCCTGTTTGAGAGTTCATTATTACCTACTTCACCGTAGTATCCATCATGGGGCTTCAACGCGCTGCCTCATTGGCTGTCGCAGGCATGGGAGTGGTCCTCGCCATAGTCTCGTGCTGCTACATGGCCGACAATTACCTCGTCATCTCACATCCCACCCTCTGCACCGGCGTGTCAAACGCCACCCTCTGCTCCCAGGAGTTCCGCGCCGCACGCCGGCAACTCAGCGTCCTCCCGCAGGCCGCGGACGCAGTCACGGCCGCCATGGTCTCCGCGGTGGCGGCGCAGGTCTCCGCGATCATCGATGCCGCCGCGGAGATCAAGCGCGCCAATGTCCGCGGGAACCACTTCGTTAATGTCGTGGCGGACGACTGCAGCACGCAGGGCGGCATCGCGCTGCGCTACCTGGGCCGCACGCTGGACGCGATCGACTCGGACAGCGCGCAGCACGATCGCGCGTTCTGGCTGTCCGCCGCCAGCACGCAAGTCGAGAATTGCGTCGACGGCTTCAAGACGCTCGCGCCCTCCGCGACATTCCAGCCCGCATTCGTGCATCTCGAGGTAAGCCCCTCCCCCCTTATTCCCGTCCCCTTCCCTCCGCCCCCGCTCCCCCTGTCGCCCCACCCGCACCCGCCATAACAAAACGTAGCATTTGTAACACATTAAGGAACACGCCTTGTCTCATTGGTATCTGTTGCCTCCTATCCCGTCGCAGACCGTCGCGAACAAGGCGAGCGATACGCTGGAAGCCGTCGTCGCCATCGCCAAGAAGGCTGCGGCCGGCCCACCCGAGTTGGGTCGCAAGCTCGCGTCGTCCGAGCCCGCTGATGTCGCACGAGGCGCCAAGTGGCTGGATGACGACTTTGTCGCACAGCTGCGACAGCTTCAGGCGGAGTTGAACGCCCTGGGCGACGCTGTTCACGACCAAGTCGCACGGCGGGAGCTGCGACACCGCGACGATGACGACGATGATGACGACGATGACGACAAGGATAAGAAGGACAAGAAGGATAAGAAGAGCAAGAATAAGAACAAGGGCAGCAGCGGCGGCAGCAGCAGCAGCAGCAGAGAGCAAGAAGGACAAGAACAAGAGCAAGGGGAAGAGCAAGAAGGGCAGCAGCGCGAAACCCGCCTCTGGTCCTATTCGCGCGAGCAAGGGACTGAAGGCCAACGCCGTCGTGAAAGGGAAGATCCAGTCCGCGATTGACGCCGCGCCCGGCGGCAGCCAATACGTAATCTACATCCCCGCCGGCACGTACCGTGAGCAAGTCGTTATAGACACCCCCGATATTATCCTTATTGGGGCCGGCGCCGGCGCTACAGTGATCACGTACGACGAAAGCTACGGCAGCGGGTCGAGCACGTTCGACTCGGCGACGGTCGGCGTGAACAGCGACCGTTTTGTCGCATTCGGAATCAAATTCGTGAACACGGCCGGCCCGGAGAACCACCAGGCTGTAGCGTTCCGCGCTACGGGCGACCAGTCGGCGGCGATCGACTGCGCGTTCGAAGGCTCGCAAGATACGCTGTACGTGGACGCGGGGCGGCAGTTCTACTCCAACTGCTACATCGGCGGCACGCAGGACTTCATATTCGGCGACGCGGCCGCCGTCATTGAGAAGGCGAAAATCCAGCTGCATCCCAGCAAGTCGTTCATCACGCTCACCGCGTCGGGCCGCGCCAAAGACACGCCGACAGGGATCGTGATTCGCGACTCGGTGGTGAGCGCGGACAAGGGCGCGGCGAAGGCGTACCTGGGGCGGCCGTGGAAGAAGTGCGCGTTCACGGTGTTGGTGAACGTCGTGCTGCCGGCCGTCATCCAGCCGGACGGCTGGCTGTCGTGGAACGAGGGCAGCTGCATGTTCCTCGCGGAGGCTGGCAGCAAGGGCCCGGGCGCAAAGGGGTCGCGCGCCGACTGGGTGGACCCTGGGATCATCTCCAACGGCGCCTCCTACACTGCTGCCGCCTTCGCTGAAGTCAACTCGTGGCTTGTGCTCTCTTGAAACCGTTCCACACCGCTCTGTACTGCTTGTGACCGTAGAGAACGGGATTCTCTAGGAGGGCGTCAGTCTTGGAATCAGGACACGTGACTGTAGGGAATGTGCTTGTAGGCGCGGCATGGGTTCAGGTGGGTCCTGCTGCTATGGGCGCTAACTTATTAGGCCAGGAAGGAAATGTGAGGAGAATGCTAGGGCAAGGACAAAGCAAGAAGCCTTGGTAGTGCAAGAGAAGTTGCTCGAAGGGCCGGAGTAGAATTGCTAGAAGCTCTTGTAGCTTAGGCAAGGGGTTTGCTAGTACTGTGTTTGTGAACAATAAGCAAGCTTAGAAGTGCTCAATGCATTTTCTCCTTTAAACCCTGCTGCCTCACGTGCTCACCCCTTTCCATTCAACAGCCTCAGTTGCTTTCTTTCCGTTTCCCATCCCTGCCCTTTCTCTCTGTTTCTCAGCCCAGCCCTTTCTCTCAGTTTCCCGCCCCAGTCCATTCTCAATCTCTCTCTCTCCCACCCCAGTCCTTTCCCTCTGATTCCCAACCTGGCCTTCTCAATCTGTTTCCTAACCCAGTCCTTTCTCTCTCTTTCTCCCAACACAATCCATTCTCCATGTTTCTCAACCCAGCCTTTTCTCTTTGTTTCCCACCCCAGTCCTTCCTCTCTGTTTCCCAGCCTAGGTATTTCCCTCTGTTCCCCAACTCAGCACTTGCTCTCTCTTTACTTGGGTTCTTTCTTGCTGTTTCCCACCCACCCTAGTCCTTCCATCCTAATGCCTCACATACTCATTTCTTTCCATCTTGCTGCCTCACATGCTCATCCTTTCAAATCCGGCTGCCACGGCCTCACAGTTGCAATCTGACTCATTTCTTGCATCCTCATCCCCTCCAGCCCTTCCAATCAAATGATTGTGTGGGATGCAATCAGACCCAACTCCCTCACATACTCATCCCTTCCAGTCACATTCCCTCGCATACACATCCCTTTCAGTCACATTCCCTCATATACTCATCCCTTCGTCACATTCCCTCGCATACACATCCCTTTCAGTCACATTCCCTCACATACTCATCCCTTCCAGTCAGGGCCTCAGATTGGTTTTTGTCAACACTTTCTGGTCAGTGTTAGTACAAAAAAAAAAAAACTTTCTGTCAGGGTCGTTGTGTGAAAACACCCTGATAAATCAGTGTGGTCTCTGGGAAAAAACTTTTTCATCAGAGTTGATAATTGACACGCTGATTGAATCATTACATTTTAGTTCAGCAAGCGAACACCATTAACAATCGCATACAACCACTACTACTAATACCACATCGCATCCTCATCATCACCACCGTCAGCTGCACCTACATCCTCCTCTTCATCTAGGTCTACAGGGTTGGCCTGGTCTCCTGCCTCTGCCTCCTCCTTCCCCCGACGCCTCCTATCTGCCTCCTGCCTGGAGATGTTGCAGGTGTTGAGCGGCTTCCGCTTCTTGTAGTTACGCCAGATCTCGACTATTTCGTCCCAGTTGGGCTTGTAACGGAGCAGGGACATGCACATTAAGTCACTAAGCCGCGCATCTTTGAGGCTGCCGCGCTGCCAGGACTTAATGACGTTCTGCCGCGAGAAGCCGCGCTCGCATTGGCTTAGTCATGGAGGTGGCTCGTACCTCCTTGATCCATGCGGCTGCTCCCCATTTTCTGTGGCCGTTTGCGGTCCGGTACTTGGTGCATCAGGTCAACCTCTCGCCCTGTCTTTCCTTGCCGGAAACCTAGCCTACACTGCATTGGACGGGAGAGGTTGGCGATGCGTCGGTGTTCCGGGTCTGGGGCTCTCGTGCCTTTGTCCGCGATACCTCCGCGGACAAGCTCTCCTCCCGCACCATTCCCTGCATCTTCCTTGGCTTTCCCACTGACGCGCCTGGCTGGCAGTTTTACCACCCCACCACGCGTTGTGTTCTGTCCTCTCATGACGTCACGTTTAACGAGTCGGTTCCATTCTACCGTCTCTTCCTCTACCGCACTGCCCCTCTCCCCCCCCCGCACTCTTCCTCGTGCCAGGTCCCCCTCCGGTAGACCCCCTCCCCCCTCAGGGTCCTGCTCCTTCAGGTGTCTCTCAAGTAGACCCACTTCCCCTGGCTGAGCCTGTCGAGGTCACTGGTGACTCTGGTGCTGCTGGGGGTGTTGGTGATCGGGGTGTTGAGCCTGCAGGTGCGGAGCCTGGGGGTGCTGAGCCAGAGGGTACGGAGCCTGGGGGTGCTGAGCCTGGGGGTGCTGAGCCTAGGGGTACTGCGTCTACCCGATGGGAGCCTTTCTCACCACAGCAGCTGCGTGAGTGGTTTGCTCGGCGCACCCGCCTTCAGATTGGCACTTCTGGAGCTGGAGGCGCTGGAGCTGGAGACCCTGGCGTTGGAGGCACTGGAGCTAGAGGCACTGGGGCTGGCGGCCCTGGAGCTGGAGACGCTGGAGCTGGAGGCGCTTCGGCTGGAGACGCTGGAGCTCCTCGGGGTGCTGCGTCTGGGGGTGCTGAGCCTGGGGGTGCTGCGCCTGGGGGTGCTGAGCCTAGTCGTGATGCGTCTGCTGGTGGTCCTCCGGGTGCCTCGCCGGAGCGGTCTAGCAAGCGAGAACCTCTCTCACCACAGCAGCTGTGCGAGTGGTTTGCTCGGCGCACCCGCCTTCGGAGTGGCGCTGGAGGCACGGGAGCTGGAGGCGCTGGAGCTAGAGGCACTGGAGCTGGAGGCGCTGGCGCTGGAGGCACTGGAGCTGGAGGCCCTGGAGCTGGAGGCGCTGGAGCTGGAGGCACTGGAGCTGCAGGCAGTGGAGCTGGAGGTGCTGGAGCTAGAGGCGCTGGCGCTGGAGGCACTGACGCTGGAGATGCTGGCGCTGTGGGCACTGGAGCCGGAGGCGCTGGAGCTGGAGGCGCTGACGGTGGAGGTACTGGAGCTGGAGGCACCGGAGATGGAGGCACTGGAGCTGGAGGAGATGGAGCTGGAGGCGCTGCGGCTGGAGGCGCTGGAGCTGGAGATGCTGGAGCTGGAGCCACTGGAGCTGGGGGCACTGGAGCTGGAGGCACTGGAGCTGGAGGCGCTGGAGCTGGAGGCCCTAGAGCTAAAGGCGCTGGCGCTGGAGGCACTGGCGTTGAAGGTGCTAGAGCTGTAGGCGCTGGTGCTGGAGGCACTGGAGCTGGAGGCACTGGAGCTGGAGGTGCTGGAGCTGGAGGCCCTGTGCAGCAGCGCCCGTTTTTCTTGCCGCCGCCGCAGCTGTCCGCGCTACCACCGGAGTCGGTGCTCCGTTAGGTTCTTAGTCTTCCTTCGTCCACTGCCCTTCCTCCAGACTCACCGCTGCCTGCCCCCCCTCGTTACACTGAACAACCAGTCTCCTTTACAGAGCGTCGTGAGCCTGCGTCTCGTCCTGCCTCCCCTGTTCGCACTGTTCACTGTGCTCGTCGTGCACGTCGTGTTCCCCGTCCTCGTCCTCCTCTTGTGCCAGGTACTCACACTATGGCACTTCGTCCTTCCTCTGTTCCGCAGCGTGTCCCCCTGCCGTCTCCTCCTGCGTCCTCTCTTCCTGACGTCCCAGACCCTAAGTCTGAGTTGGTTCGTGCTGCCAGCCCCACTGTCACGCGTCTCCTGGCCACAGTCGTCACTGACCCGTTGTTCGAGTCTACTGCTGCGTCTGCCTTAGTTGCAAAGCTGGTGGACTTTGCTGCTGCGTGTCGTCTAGACTACACCACTAATCTTGTTGCCGAGTCTGAGTCTGTCTGTCCTCCGTCCGTCGGAGGTGAGTGTGCTCTTGGCACAGACGTCCTTGAGGACAGGCACGAGGACGTCCTTGAGGCAGACGTCCTTGAGTGTCTTCGGCTACTGTACCTCATCTCGTGGCCTGGCTGCTTGCACCTGAGGGAGACCCGGATGCACTGGACATCCCGACCCCGCGCTCTTACGCAGAGGCGATTTCGGGTCCCTACTCCTCTCAGTGGCAGATAGCCATGGACGCAGAGATGGCATCCTGGAAGTCCACAGGCACTTACGTCGACGCAGTTCCCCCTCCTGGGGCGAACATAGTCGATGGCATGTGGATTTTCAGGGTGAAGCGGCCGCCGGGTTCTCCGCCTGTCTTCAAGGCGCGTTACGTTGCTCGAGGCTTCAGTCAGCGGCAGGGAGTTGACTTCTTCCAGACCTTCTCCCCTACCCCGAAGATGACCACTCTTCGGGTGCTGCTGCACGTTGCTGCTCGTTGCCGCTCAGCGTGACTACGAGCTTCATTCTCTTGACTTCAGCACCGCTTTCTTAGAGGGCAGCCTGCACGAGGAGATCTGGCTGCGCCGCCCACCTGGCTTCACTGGGTCATTTCCTGCAGGTACCAAGTGGAGCCTCCGACGGCCAGTCTACGGTCTCCGCCAGGCGCCTCGTGAGTGGCACGACACACTGAGGAGGACACTTGCGGCTTTCGGGTTTGCTCCTTCGACTGCAGACCCGTCACTGTTTCTGCGCACAGACACTTCGCTGCCGCCGTTCTACATCCTCGTGTGCGTCGACGACTTGGTCTTTGCCACTGCTGACACTCAGGCGCTGGCCCTTGTGAAGTCGGAGCTTCAGAATAGACACACCTGCACTGACCTGGGTGAGCTGCGCAGCTATCTTGGCTTGTAGATCACCCGGGACAGAGCACGCCGCACCATCACCCTGACTCAGTCACACATGGTGCAGCAGATCCTTCAGCGCTTCGGCTTCCAGTTCTCCTCATTACAGTCCACTCTTCTGCCTACCGGTCACTCGCTCTCAACTCCACCTTCGGACGAGTTCGTAGAGCCGAGTGGCCCGTATCCAGAGCTTGTGGGCTGCCTCATATACCTGATGACCTGCACTCGACCTGGCCTTGAGTACCCTCTTAGAATCCTGGCTCGCTACGTTGCACCTGGGAGACACCGGCGAGAGCACTGGGAGGCTGCTAAGAGGGTGCTGCGCTACTTGTGCAATACATCGGGCATGGGGCTGGTGCTTGGAGGACAGGGTCGAGTTGTCCTCACTGGAC